CAGTCTGTATGGTCAGTCTGTATGGTCTATGGTCAGTCTGTATGGTCAGTCTGTATGGTCAGTCTGTATGGTCTATGGTCAGTCTGTATGGTCAGTCTGTATGGTCAGTCTGTATGGTCTATGGTCAGTCTGTATGGTCTATGGTGTGTACGGCAGTCTGTATGGTCAGTCTGTACGGTAGTCTGTATGGTCAGTCTGTACGGTAGTCTGTATGGTCATACCTTCATCTGACGAGATGACTCGCTGGTCGCCTTTTTAGCCAACATATCTAGAGAAAGAAAAATGTACACCCGTACATATACATTCATGTGTCACCCGTACATATACATTCATGTGTCACCCGTACATATACATTCATGTGTCACCCGTACATATACATTCATGTGTCACCCGTACATATACACTCATGTGTCACACGTACATATACATTCATGTGTCACCCGTACATATACACTCATGTGTCACTCGTACATGTACATTCATGTGTCACCCGTACATATACATTCATGTGTCACCCGTACATATACATTCATGTGTCACCCGTACATATACATTCATGCGTCACCTGTACATAATAATACACATTCATGTGTCACCCGTACATATACATTCATGTGTCACCCGAACATATACATTCATGTGTCACCCGTGTCACCCGTATATATACACTCATGTGTCACCCGTACATATACACTCATGTGTCACCCGTACATATACATTCATGTGTCACCCGTACATATACATTCATGCGTCACCCGTACATAATAATATACATTCATGTGTCACCCGTACATATACATTCATGTGTCACCCGAACATATACATTCATGTGTCACCCGTATATATACACTCATGTGTCACCCGTACATATACACTCACGTGTCACCCGTACATATACATTCATGTGTCACACGTACATATACATTCATGTGTCACACATACATATACATTCATGTGTCACCCATACATATACATTCATGTGTCACCCGAACATATACATTCATGTGTCACCCGTGTCACCCGTATATATACACTCATGTGTCACCCGTACATATACACTCATGTGTCACCCGTACATATACATCCATGTGTCAACCGCACATAATAATATACATTCATGTGTCACCCGTACATATACATTCATGTGTCACCCGTACATATACATTCATGTGTCACCCATACATATACATTCATGTGTCACCCGTACATATACATTCATGCGTCACCCGTACATATACATTCATGTGTCACCCGTACATATACATTCATGTGTCACCCGTGTCACCCGTACATATACATTCGGATATTGCATGTTTGGAAAGTCTTCGGAATGCTTATATTCAACAAGATGAGGAAGATGGAAGGACAAGCTGTGTACCTGTTCCACGAACAGACTCAAAAGAAACGATCATCAAGTCATTGTGGAATCGGTGTGCATGGCTTGTGAATGGATGTCTCATTGTTTACAATGGCTGGTAAGAAGACGGACTTTTCCAATATTAGATCTAAAACGAAACTAATGAAACGCTGAAAATTAAACTACAGTGACTTGAGACCCCTCAATATGACCGTGCACCCTTTAAGCACTCTTTCAATGATTCTGAACCACTGTTATTTTTGGTCAAATTCGAAAGTTGAGTGGTTCGAAAGTTTGGGGTGACCAAAGGGACGAGCTTTCACAAATATAATATCGACGATTGTAAAAATTACCCTCGGTATTTTTGTTTTTGTTACAAATCAGAGTTACACATACCACCACACAACACACAGACTACACACTCACTCTACCACACAACACACAACACACTCACCCTCCTACACAACACATTGACTACACACTCACCTTCCTACACAACACATTGACTACACACTCACCCTCTCACACAACACACAACACAATTGCTACACACAACACACTAAATACACACAACACACAACCCACAGCACACTAGCTACACACTCACACTCCCACACAACACACAACACACTAGCTACACATTCCCACACTACACACAACACACTCCCACACAACACACAACACACTAGCTACACATTCCCACACTACACACAACACACAACACACTAGCTACACATTCCCACACAACACACTAGCGACACACTTACTCTCTCTCATCTCGTTGACCTTCAACTTGCCAGGTTCCTGCATCAACACTCTGGCCACAGCGCTAGGGTTGTCCATGGCGGCCGGGAACCGAACCCCATCCTTCTCCAGCGCCAGCTGACGGCAGTACCAGCAACGTGCGTTAGTTAGCAGGGGAGCAAAACATTCTATTTATATATTCTGTAAACACACATGTATTTATTCTGCAAACACACATTTATTTATTCTGTAAACACACATGTATTTATTCTGCAAACACACATTTATTTATTCTGTAAACACACATGTATTTATTCTGCAAACACATTCTGTCTGTAGACAGACAAACAGACATACATACAAACACACAACTGTATGACACACACACAGACACACACACAGACACACACACACACACCAACCCCCCCCCCCCCCCCCGCGACACACACACACACATACACACACACATACACACACACACACACACAAACAGAGAAACAGACGGACAAAGACAGAGGTGTGCACTCACAGAGTGTGCAGGAGCTGACGTGGTCTTCCTCTCACCAGTTTTCCGGACGGCCCGCCTGTTGTTCCGGACTCTCTCTAGTGGGGAGACGGCGCGCGGGTCCAGGATCTCCGACTGTACAGAACTCACCGTCTTCCTCCTTCACAAACACACATTTGGTTTTGTTTTTGGTAGCTGTAGTTTTTGTAAGAGTTTTACAGCACTCTCAACACAATTAGGTCAACTAAGGGAGGAAGATTCGAGGTGTTGCAAGAGAGTCATGTACAGGAAAGTAGTAGGACGATAGATGTTTGATAGGAAAGAAGGAGGAGAGATAAGGACGATAGATGTTTGATAGGAAAGAAGGAGGAGAGATAAGGATGATAGATGTTTGATAGGAAAGAAGGAGGAGAGATAAGGACGATAGATGTTGGATAGGAAAGAAGGAGGAGAGATAAGGACGATAGATGTTGGATAGGAAAGAAGGAGGAGAGATAAGGACGATAGATGTTTGATAGGAAAGAAGGAGGAGAGATAAGGATGATAGATGTTTGATAGGAAAGAAGGAGGAGAGATAAGGACAATAGATGTTTGATAGGAAAGAAGGAGGAGAGATAAGGACCATAGATGTGTAGCGATAAGACACACAATACACGACAACATGACACATGACACACACAGGACACACGACACATGACACACGTACTTGAGCAGGCCCGGTAGAGAGCTCCCTACAAAGCTAGACATGACACGACACACAACATACGACACATGACACATGACACACAAAAAACACAACACATGACACACACAACACACAACACATGACACACGACACACACAACACACGACACACACAACACACGACACACACAACACATGACACACACAACACACGACACACACAACACACGACACACACAACATATGACACACACAACACACGACACACAACACACAACACACGACACACACAACACATGACACACACAACACACACAACACACAACACACACAACACACGACACACACACAACACACACAATACACGACACATACAACACACGACACATACAACGCACGACACATGACACATGACACATACTACACTTAGGAAACACTTGAGATTAGTAAGTATTTCTGCCATCACACTCAGGTCTGACATTGTACACGACACACGACACACGGCACATATGACACACGCGACACACATACTTGAGCAGGCCCGGCAAAGAGCTGCCCACAAAGGTACACACGACACACATGACACACGTACTTAAGCAGGCCCGGCAAAGAGCTGCCCACAAAGGTACACATGACACACGACACGACACACGACACACATGACACACGTACTTAAGCAGGCCCGGCAAAGAGCTGCCCACAAAGGTGCACACGACCCCCTTGGAGTTGAACTGAGAAATGCCCAGCTCTATCTTCATGGTCGCCGTCTGGAACTCAAAAGGGGCAAAGGTCACCGTCACTTCAGCCTCGCTGTTCGCTGGCACGATGCCTGGGAAGGTCAAGGACATGCAAGGAGTTCTGGTTTTAGTTTTAGTAGAGGTTTTACGGCACTCGCAACTGCATATGGTCATACAAGCGCTAAAAGATTAGAGGTGTTACAAGAGAGTAACATACATAAAAAAGAAGAAGGGGAGATAAGGACGATAGATGTATGATAGGAAAGAAGAAGCAAACCCTACCAGAGCACCCGCCAGCCACCCACTTGCAAGGAGTTCAAACTTCCCATCAAAACCGTAGTAGAATATGCTTACAACAAAGAGTTCTTTTTGTCTTCTTCTTTTTCTTACTATTATTATTATTATTATTATTATTATTATTATTTATTATTATTATTATTATTGTTGTTATTATTATTATCAAATCTAATAACATATCATTTGAATTGTTGTCATCATATTGCTATTATTGTTATTATTATCATTCTTTGGAAATGTTCTGAAATAATTCCTGTCCCAAAGAAACAATTGATACAAAATTAGAACGACCAAAGACCTGTGGCTTTAACATCAGTCCTTATGAAATGTTTAGAAAAACTGGTTCTGAAAGAACTGAGGAAATCAACAGAAGACACACAGGACAACATGCAATTTGTCTAT